CATTTTCCCACTTCCAGAAACATCTCCGCTGATGCCGGCCGGAGCTACACAAACCCAACAAAAAGCAACAGTCGCCATCTGTGTTTCTGACTGAGTCAGGCTGAAATAACATGACTGTGTGGTATGTGGTTGTTTTTCTGTCATCTGCTGTTAAAATTATTCCAGTAATGTACCTAATATTCAAACGCCAATAATAACTAATAAGCCTACAAAGTCAGAATTTCTTCTTTAAAAAAGACGTCACACTGTGTCTGCTGTGCTAATAAGTGTCTGTGCACACACACACACACACAAACACCTGGGTTCTGACTGAAATAGTCAGGCTGAAATAACATGACTGTGTGGAATATGGTTGTATGTGTATATATATTTTACATTACTGCATCACAACTACATAGTAAGGCATTATATTCCAAAGTAATAAGCATTTAGTTAACAATTTTCCCAAGAGACTGCATTTATTTATACTGTGGTCATTTAAGGGATGCATTAACAGAATGTCATAGGATATTTTGCAGATATCTCTGACGTGCCCCTATGAGACCAATGTCCCATTGATGCAGTGTTTTATTCTCCTGACCTGTTACTCCAGGTTCCAGACTTCAGGTCTGGCTGGATAAGTGTGGTTATGATTAAATATGAGTAATATGTGTCTTTTGATGTTAAAAGCTGTTGTAAGCTGGTAGGCTGAACGATTTTTCGATTTCAAATCAAAATTGCGATTTTAAACGACGCGATTAGCAAATCTCAAAAGCTGAAGCTGCGATTTAGTACGTGCATTATACAGCACGTCTGCCCCAGGGTTAAAAACTGTCATGAAAATAGTTTTACAAATTCACACCGTGCTCCGTGTGTGACAGTCATTGTCACCAATTAGAAGTGCCATCCTCCTGCGTGCGTCATGCTCACCAATCAGAGTGGCCCAAGAGAACTGCGGGTACGCCCACAATCAGCAAACACGTGAAACGCAAGGAATAGGTTACATTCGTAGTGCGAAAAAGATTGATATTGCTGCTGAGTTATAAGTGAATTACCTTCTTAATTCATGGTCAGAGTTCTGCCACGGCCCCCTTTAACCGCCAACAGCACGTTGTTCTGCGTATCACACCTTTCGTTTTCGTTAATGGGCGTTAGCATGCTGCTCACCCATCAAGAAAACATTGGGACTGTCTAATCCTCACAGCAGCAGAGGTGTTATCACCCCCAAGAAGACGTAAAACCTATAATATATTCGTATTTATGGCATATATTTAATCAAGTATTGGTTTCGACAATCTTGTGAAATGAATCTTAATTCCACATCGGTAATAAAAGCCTCGCTTTAACGTAAATAGCAAAAGAACTGCTCACGTACTTAGTTTAATTGCTATTACAGTGGGGTATGGGCGGTCTTATTATTTCCAAAATACATAAAAAGTGACACTTATAATGTCTTCTCAAATTACTTTAAGCTGTAGGACTAATGCTACTACTGTTAAAACTTTAGTAGCACAAAGGAAAAACAATTAGTACAAGTAGGGAACGGATTCCAAAGCCGCGCACACAGAAAGCGTGGGAAAGGACTGTAATGTAATGTGCGCATGGATTGTTGAATTGTGGGAAAGGATTGTCAAACCGTGCTCTGGATTACCTGAATCCAGGAGGGCTCCGTAGGAAACGGTGGTTTTAGTGTTATTTGGGGTTCAAGCAGTTCGCTGTAAGATCGATATTGTTTTACTTTTAACTGGAATTGTTTTGTTTTTATCACTATTACTTAATTTAACGTAACAGTCACAGCTTTTCTGATAATTGTTTTATGTTTGTTCTTTGCTAATTTAAAAAAGTAATAAATGCATGTCTGAAGCAATTCATATCTTTATGTTCTCATCCTTACATTAGAATATAGAACAGATAATATTTTGATGGTATCTCATGTGGTAATGCTGCGTCATATGTTTAAAATCTATGACATACTGAAAATTGAACTGAAGCTTAACATATAAAAATTTATGGCAAATCAAATCGTAAATCGCAAATCTGTCAGAAAAATCGCGATGAGATATTTTCTGCTTATCATTCAGGCCTATAAGCTGGGCAGGAATTGTGCAGGGAAGTGACGCTTACAAGGCTCCTTCCCTATTTCTTTCCAACCTGTAAGACTCTAAGCCTGTAAGCTTGAGGACCAACCTCATCTCATTTACTGCACAGCTGATTAAAAAAACATTCATCCCCCCTTGGCATTTCAGTGCTTCTCACTGAAATCCTTCAAGCAGGAACATTTTGAATTTCTCTGCTCTACAAGATGGGAAATAGATGATGTTCCGTAAATAGGGCATGTGATAAATGGTAATAAAGGATTCTCTGGCGGCTGGCAGAGTGGTCACCCTGGTCTGTCTGGTGAAGTAATCACAGAGGCAGTGGCTAAGACCAGAATCTCTTACATAGACAAAGCTGAGATGGACTGCAGTCTTTCCGCATAGCTTAAAAACAATAGCAAATGCAATAATGCTGATGTTGCAGTGGACTGTGATCTGTGCCCAGGTTCACCACGGCACTGGATAGATGGTTAATGACAATGTAAGGCTGGAAAATAACATTCAGATGACCATAGTAATATTTATGGTGCTGTTTCTAGTAGTGGGATCTCTGATTTCCCCCTACAGTCCAAAAACACACTAAGGTGAACTGGTGTTGTCACATTATCTATAGGTGTGATTATGTGTGTGTTTGGTGTGTGTGCCCTGCGATGGGTTGGCACCCCATCCTGGCTTATTCTCTGCTCTGGTACCTCGTGACCCTGCATAAAAAAAGCAGATATAGAAAATGGGTGAATGTCTGAAACTTAATATATACCAGTAAAATTAGATTAAAATTACATACAGTAGAGGTAGCATAGTTTTGGTTTTAAAGCCATTCTATATATTGTGGATTATATGACTTTTCTACAGAATATCAGTGATATTATACTGAGCTGATTTTATTCTCCATGTAGGGAGACTCCCATCTCTATGGGTCCACTCACTACTCCTTCTGCAGGGAAGAAATCATGTCGATCCACTTCAAACAGGCCCAGGAGAAAGGCAAAGAAATTAAATGACATGTGCAATTCTCACAATCGACAGTTAGTTCACATGAGGAAACACCATTGCAGGCTGCGGAAGCTCTGGGTGTCTCTTCTGTCTAGCAGAATCTGCTAAAACGGCTGCAGTGCAGCTCTCACCGCCGTCCCAGTTTGAGTGATGTTTTATTCATCCCTCTCAGCCTGCGAGGGGTCCCCGTATTCCTGAGCCCGCTGTTGGATCAGCCTCTCATAAGTGCAAACATCCTGGTGTGTGTACAAAGGGGCAGCATGTAAACCGCCTGGCGTCCCGGAGAGCCAGGGAGACCTAAGGGGAACAGATGCCCCGGGGTAGAAGGACAGGAGAAGGAGAGAGAGATCACTACAGGTGGAAAGAGACGGAAGATGGAGAGGAAGTAGGGAAGCAGGCAGTGCTGCGGCTTGGAATTTTTTAATATTTTCAATTATAGTTTTAGGCCCAAATTACTCTAGGAAATTGCCTTAAAAATGTGCAAAATTGTAAGCTACGTAACTGCTTTACTACAGCATTATTTTTATAGTGAAATGATTGGATTTTGTATTAAATCTGTCCTGCAGTCCTGAGCACACTTTCAGGAAAGATGCATGTACCCATGCAGCTCACCAGTGGGGGTCCTGCTATCTGTGTATGGGCTGCTAGTGCTGAACACCAGAGGACCAGTGCTTCTCTGGGCAAGTTTTTGTGCATCATCTGCCCCAGGGTTCTGATCCTCCACCCCCCCACCCCCCTAAAGTACATTCCTGCTCCTGTGTGTGTCACACTTTGCCAAAAGCATCCTCCCACTCCCTGTGCAAAGAACAGAAAAGGTGATTTCCATCTGCTACACTATGATATTATAATAATGTTGTCTGATTTAAATAATCCCGGCATCGTGCTCTGTGTATGTAGTAATATCACTCTTTGCGTGTGCATGTCTTTGCCGTGCTGTGTGGGGGTTTATGGGATACTCCGGTGTCCTCCCCAAATCCAAAGACATGCACTTTGATGAAATGGCATCCTTAAATCGTCAATAGTGTGAGTAAATAGGCTGGTGTTGTGTCCAGGGAGGACCCCATCCCTGTGCTCTGTGCTGGCAGGATAAGCTCCAGGCTCCAGGCCCCCTGCAACCCTGATCGAGATAAGCGGTTAGGAGATGCATGGATCTTTTTAATAATTGTTATGTTAAATTTACATAGAGGAAATGGGCAGAATTACCGTTTAGTACTTTGCTCTGAGGTATCTTTACAGGTGTATGAATTTTCAGCATCTGGGTCAAGGTGTGCTTGACCTTTTAACTGAATACTAATAGCAAGAGACAGACATCGTTTTTTATCATTTTAAAACACAAAAATATGCTTAGTATGAGTGTGGGAATCAACATACTAAAATCTTAGTCTTGATATAAAAACTATCCAGTTATAGTTTCTTACAGTACTGAGTGTTAATTAGAGATTATTGGCTTAAAGAAATAATTTGGTTTAATCATTCAGACTTTAGAGGATATTCCTTCAATGTTCAGACTATCAATAACATTACCTGTCTTTAAAATCATATGACAGTACAAAACAATTACTGCTCTTCTGAGATTTGACGCTGGTGACCAGCATAACCAATTAATTGTTCCTTCTGTGCTGTGTATTTTTCATACCACCCTAAACTCATAAATCTTTATAATGTCAAAGATTACTAAACATTATTTATCTGTCCATTTAGTTAACTAATCATTGTAATGGTCCGTTATCGTTATATCGTTATTAAGACACTAAAATCTTTTCCACTTCATGCTAAGCAGATAAATAATTGGTATTATTATAGCGGACTTGCATATAATGGAATTTCGCTTATAACGGACCAACAATTCAGTCCCCAGGGCCGCTTTTAGCTGTAGTTTTGTTCGGCTATAACGGACATGCAGGCTCCGCCTACAAGGCGCGTGGCGTGCTGGTGATATCCAGCGCAGATACGTACGTAGTCGGGATTACTAATAGTCACGCATCTGGTCAGGTAAAGATGAATTAATACATGTACAATATAATAATCTATACCACAAGTGTGTCGGCTGGGATGTGGCATGAGTAAATGGTGTCCTGTAGTTGTGTTCTGGTCAAACAGCAACTGGATATAACGGACTTTGGATATTTGCCAAGTCCCTTGAAGTCCGTTATAACGGGATTTTACTGTACTATTCAGATAGTACCCATCAATGGAGTCTCTCTGTTTTTGGTTTAGTGTGCCTACCTAAAGATATATGTATATGAATAAAATAATTTTGAGTATCATCCTATAGCACTGTGAATATTGCTGTAACTGACTTTAGACAAACCATCGATTTTTTTTTAAGTTGATGACTCATTTTTAAAGTGTTTCATAGCTCCAGATAGACTTACATGTGGAATTATGATATTTGCTTTCTAATTTAGTTCCTCATCACTAGGATGGTGAAGGAAACGCGAGCGGTACACACTGTAAAAAGCTATGGTAAGAGGACTGAGTCACTGAAGGTAATATAAATGGACAGGAAGTGTTTGTTCCCCCGGAGAGACACACAGCTATTTTGGAAATAATGTATCCCTTGACTCCGCATGTCACTAAAAGAATGGTGCTGTTCAGTACTCTTATGTGACTTGTTCCTTTGGTTAATGTGCTTGTGTAGTGGTTATGTCCAGGACCCCGGGCAAGCTGTGTTATTTTTTATCCTTAGTAATCCATCTATCTATCTGTCTTCTAGTTGCTTAGCTTGGTGTCTCCATACACCATAGTCATACACTATGGGCGATTTAGAGACACCAATTACACTGCATGATTTTGCACTATGGGAGGAAATTTGAGTACCTGGAAGAAACCCATGCAACATGGAGAGAACGTGCAAACTACACACACACACACACACAGGTTTGTAATTATACATTTGTGGGTACTCTGCTTTCATTTCTATGGGGAAAACTCTAATCCCAACATGACGACCTTACCTCCTACCCAGCCCTTAACCTTAACCATAAGTAACCAAACAAAATACGAGACTTTTGGCATTTTTAGTTTTTTGGTTGCATTCTCAGATTTTTATAAAATTGAAATTTCCCTTGCGGGGACTGAACAAATGGTCCCCACAAGATAAAACAACAGGTTTTTATCACATTGTGGGGGACATTTGGTCCCCACAATGTAATATATATATATATATATATATATACAGTATATATGCCCACACACACACACACATACACACACTACATGGAGGTAAAATTCAAAGTCCAGCCCTGGAAGTCTAAGGCTAAAGTACTAACCCACACCACCCAGTGCTTATTCCAAAAAATTTCCTACATTCTAATTATCTCTCCCTCCCCCACACTAATGTTTTCCTAACTTCTCCCTCAGTGCCCCCAACCATGCCATGTATTTATAATTTTTCACCTCCGGCATACCTGATGCCAATAATTATGGGCTTTAGTTGAATGAAAATCCGATTGTCTGGTGGTGGAGAATATAAAATATATGAAATGGCTGGGGGGTGCTAGAAGAGAGATTTGGGAACCATCGATCTACACAAAATGGAAAACTCCAGTGGCTGCTGTATTTGACCCAGTGGATTAGGATGCTGTGCTTGTGGTTAGAATGTCTCCGGTTCAAGTCCTGTTGCTGGTTCAGTGATCCCACCATTGGGCCATTGAACAAGGCTTTGAATCCCTGTCTAATTGAACTAGGCCTATGCACTGTAGATTTAGCTTGAGTTCTTAAAATTAACCGAGCTAAAAATTGCACTACTGTCCCCACATAGGCTCATTTTGAGCAATAAGGACTTTGTGTGAATAACGAGAGGGTTTCTAGGTGTCGTCACCGCTGGGCAGCCAGTGGAGAGGCTGTTCTGCAGGACCCCAGCAGAGCAGAGCGTGGGTTCAGCTTGACGGCCACCTTGCTGTCCGCCCCAGGATCGGTCACACTGCCAGGTGCCCAGCTGTCACCATGGGTGTGCGGGAGGGGAGGAGCGCCGTGGAGGGGCCAAAGTGTGCTGCCTGCGGATGGGGGCGTGACCCAGGCTCCATGGTTAGCTGGGACTCTCGGTGATGTTGGCGTAGGCTAAGAGGGAACTGACAGGGATGCTGAAATTAATATAATGGGAGAAGTGGGATCACGTAACAGAACCTCCGCATAGGGGTACAGGGCATCAAACGACAATGCCGCACAGAAGTTATGCATTTTACTTACAGTCCATTTGGAACCTGTGGCACAGTTCTATTGGGGATCTTTATTATCACAGTAAATTAAGCTCACAAGTTTTAATTGCCTTTTCTGTGTGGCATCGGAATTGTTTGTGTGGATTCTTCTTTGTTTTCATGAGACCTCATTTTGTGGTTTCTGATTAATTTGTACAGTATCACATTTCGTTGCATTTTGAGTGTGGCTTCTACAGAGACGGAGTCTGGTGTTGATGCAATTTATTGTTTTTTTTTATCATTTTGGGTGGTTTCATCACAATGTGACCTGTCACAGTGCAGTAAAAAAAAAAAATTCACTGCAGTGTGGGCAGTGTTGGTGCACTGAGAATGGCTGCATTGTAATGTGACTGGCCTCAGTGCAGTGAGAATCAGGCTGAATCATGTTGGTGGATCCCCAAGTGGTGAAGACCCCAGTGTGTGCGGTTTCATCGCGGTGTATTTGCGGTTTCAGCCTGGTTGCCGTGGTTTCGGCGTGGTCATACTGTAGTGGGCCTGCGGTTTAAGAGCCATGTATTTGCTTTCTGACAGGAAATGCTGATCAGCTGGTCTTTAATCCCCAGTCCTGCTGAGCAAAACCCACAACAGCCTTTTTCCCTGGACCCCTTGTGCCAATCCTTCTGACTCACAAAAAGCACACATACACACATACAGTACAGAGCCTCCCTGCTTCTGTTCTGACTAACTCTGATAAAGAATAATGATCCAAGCAAATACAAATTCATCTGGACACAGATACACATTTTGTATCGAGACCGGGTGATAAATAAATGATGACCCTCAGTGCAGCTGGCCTGTTTAATTGGAGAAAGTACCCCGGCGCAAATTCGAGTGAATCCGCTACCTCAGCTAGGCTGCAGTGGTGGCCTTTAATCCAAATATGCTTCTGAAATTTAAACCGTATTTAAAGCCCTGAAAAACTCCTAGGGTGTGTTTAGTACATATCCTGCCTCCTACTTTATTGCTTGCACAGTGGCAGATGGAGTGTTTCGGTCCGAAATGCACATTGCATCCACATCGCATCCCTTTGCCCATGAGTCTTAAAGCCCTCTTAATGTTGGCTAAGATGGAACACAGAAGAAAATTAATTAGACCATTGCACCCTAGTCAAGCTAAGGTCAGATTCTTCAGCCCATGAATTGAGCGAACCGCGTATGCAAATTGTTATGCAAATAGCTGCTCATTGGGAAAGACAAATGCTAATTTTATCAGCTTCTGCTGAGAAAATGGCTGGTGAAAAGATGTCTCTGTTGGTACGCAGAGTCCCTTTGTGTGCTCGGTCTCAGGTTCTGAAATGATAAACTGTGTTAATATGTTGCGAAGCCCTTCCCTGCCAGTGGGAGCTGTTATGTGAAAGCATAATATGTCTCACAAGACTCTTATGTTTTCATTCAAATGCTGTCGCCATCATGAACAGCTGCAATGGCAATATGCTTTGATGAAAAAATAAAAGGCAAACATAAACAGGCAAAACTCAAGTGCTCTAATCAGTCGGGGGTCAAAGGTCGCGAAATGCTCAATACCACTTTATATTGCAGCATCAATTGACTTTTTTTATACATTCATCTTGTTTTACTATGATTATTTCTTTATTAACAATGCAAGAGTGAATATATCCAAGGCCTCAGAGGCTCAGTAGCACGAGGCAAGGTCTTGTGTTTTTAACACATGTCATTTAGACCTGTAAGCAAAGTAACAGGCTCGGTGATTACATTTTGGGATGATGAGATGATTATTTTGACCAGGTGGGGGCAGGAGAGAGGCAGGTGATACTTTTGGTAGACTCTATGGCATGATTGCTTTTGTTGCCACCTTAGTTTTAGGCAGGACCCCATCTGAGACAGCATTTATCTTGTTCAGTTAACCATAGCTGCCAAATCTTAGATTGTGGGAGTTTTACTTACACAAAAATGTTCTGAGGGCAGAACAAAAAAAAAAAAATTCAGAGAGATAACCAATCAGATTACAGGGGAGATGGGTCCAAGCGATTGGAGAAAGTGAGACCAAAATACCTGATCTCCAACCTGCCTCCTGTAGTTGGTTGGACCTACCTCCTCTACAATTTGATTGGTTATTTCTTTGAACCAATCATTTTTCGTTCTGCCCTCAGAACATTTCTGTGTAAGTATAACTCCAATGAGCCAAATCTTACACCTACTCTTGTTGCTTTGCAACTCTCATTTTGCACGTGTTTGTGCAGGGCTGGATAAATATATAGGCTATCCCAGGCTATAGCCTAAGGCCCCAGCAAACACCAGGACCCGACCCCGCCTCAGGAAATATAGAATAGTTAGTTAAATCGGCAACACCTGGGTGTCAATGCTTATGTCAGCCTTGGGCCCCCAAATAAGTTAAGCTGCCCCTGCTGGCGTGGGAAATTCCCAAATTCTGATTTAGGCCATGCAAAGTAAAACAAGAGATGTATGAGTGTTCACCAAACTATTTTTGTGTATAGACTGGATAAAGGGAAAAAAAACTCTGTCATGTTGTTTCAAGTTTTCTGTGCCTGTCTTAGCACATATGAAACGGGTTTACTTTCCTTTTGTGTTGTCCATCCATTTTCCCAGAACTACTGATTCAAACTTGGAACCCATCCCAGGAAGCACATGGCATGAGGCAGGGGACACCCTGGACTGGGCAGACACACACTGAGAGCTACTAATTTAGCCCATAAGAAGAAACCAGAGAACTAAGTGGGAAACCCACACAAGCACAGGAACAAACTTGAAAACTCCGCACACATTGCCAGGGCAGGGATCAAGCCCACAATCCTGGAGGCGTGAGGCTTCATAGCACCATTTTGCCTTGCCTGATGACAAAATAAGGTAAAATAAAATAGAACTGAATGTCATGGTTGGGTACTAGGTATGCATTAAAAATATATACACACAAATGTTTACTTATAGAAGTGGTTTTTGCATTTGTCAGTGTTTTTACGCTTGCAACTATACTATACTAGTGATTCTGTTGTTAAATGCGTGTTTGGAGTCTCCACTCTGTTCTCTGTGACAGGTTTTGCTATCTCAAGTGTGCTTGCTAACAAGCCTAACTGCAAAGCATATCACTGTTGAACAGGAGATAGGTTCCCCTCTGTGCTTTTAGACTTAACAAAAAAAAAAAAAAAAAAGACTGCAGAAGCTCCCATATACAGTAGCTTGACAGTTTCTGCTTCCAAGTCATTAAAGCATCGTCAGGCGTGAGTGTCTGCGGTGGGCCGGGAAGGCCGGCTCCGGTAAGATGGGTGGACCGGATGGTAGCAGGAACGAAGCGAAGGTGGACGGCACATCGGAAGCTTGATGCGTATCAGGCCTGTCCCCAGCTATGAAATATAAGGTGGGCCATAGGATTCTATGGAGGGGACGGGGGATGTTTGCCTGTAAGGGTTTCAAATTTTTTTGGCTTTCTACCATGCTATTTACAACAAAATAAAAAGAAATCCGTAGTTGGTTGGCATTTTCCCAGCCTGGTTCTGGGTTAAGCATGTGATTGGGTCTGATGAGCGTTGGACAGGCTGTACCGTGATGCCCATTGTGATACTGGTACTCCAGTGCACATCATGCTTGTCAGAATGCGGCATTATAACTTCCTTAGCTACATATATACAGCCAAAGCCATGTGTGGATTTTGACATTAGCTGTAATGCTGTCTTAGATGCACTGGTAATTTCAGTGGTGATGAATACTGATCCACATGTTTTATCGCACAATAACGGGCCCCGCCTCTTTATCCAGGAATCCAGTGACAAGATTTAAAGAAACTTAATGAAGAGCAACATGATGATGAGTGCTGGCCTGGTGTTTGGTAGGCTCACGCAGAGATGAGAGCACTCACACGCGCATACGTGGCGGGGGACAAACTCGCTGGAGCTCGGAAACACCTCTGTGTCTTTGTGGTTTCGGACTGTCCGTTGCCAGGCAACTTAGCTTTCATATGGAGGCTTTCAGCAAAAGTAACGTCTCAATTACTGGGGTGCAGGAGACGGGAGAAGAATCAGCAGTCAGCCCAGAGGTGGCAGGAAATCGGGCCCATCAACATTTCGGCTACAGTGGTGCGCAAGAACACAACCTTAGACAGGCAAAGATAACGAAGTCTAAGGCACAACGAGAAAAATCTCTACCTGAGAACTCTTGTATCAGTCTGACGTTTTTGAAACTGGGGGTCATGTGAAGGGGGACTAGCCTCTTTCCATCATGAACTGATTAAACACTACATTCATAGTCCAGTCATTGTTTATATTCGTTGAGGGTTCATCAGGTGGAACAGGACTTTGGATAGATTTGTCTTTAGTGTGTTCAACCTTGAAGTGCACATAATAGAAAGTGACAGCGGTTTTCTATTTACCGTCATCTCCATAACTTCCATACTGCCTGAGAATGAGAGAGAGAGAGAGAGAAACGGTAAAATGCAGATGCTCCTTACTTAACGACCTACCTGTTTAACGACAGCCCAGACTTACAACCAGCTCTCCGACCAGTCAGTATTGTACGCTGTACAAGAACTTTGGTTGTGGAAATAGCATCTCAGCATTAAGCATCTCATCTGGCATCACCCTTTCTCAGTCTCAGTCTCAGTCTCGTTCCTGCAGTCAGTCAGCATCAGTCTCCTATTACCTTTATTTACAGTAAGCAAACCTAAGTAATGTGCATTAGAGCTTAGGCTTCCTCTATTCTGCTCATTACAGTATACAGTACACTATATTAACATTTATAAATATGCTAAAATGTTATAAATTGTGCAAAGGCGACATTAAAACAATATCTAAAGATGATTGACACAAACTCACTACCAGTAGCCTACTGTATGCTTGAAATATCAGTAAGGGGTGGCTCCTAGTTTATCGGCCAATTCGCTTAACGAACTAGTCATAGGAACGGAACTCGGTCGTTAAGTGAGGAGTGTCTGTATTAAATTAAAACCCATTGTCAATGAAAAGTTGTATTTCATTCTACAGTGTTACTATTGTGATATGTGTCAAATATCAACATACTTAACTGGCATCTTAAAGCTTCCATTGTGGGGCTCTGTTCTTCTAAACTTGAATAATATTGCAGCTGATTTTCATCCATCTGACTTTGATCCCTGGCAGCACAGGATTATCACACAACCTGGAAGGGATACGTGCCCAGCGCAGGGCACGCATACACAACCAAACACAGGCAATTTAGGACACCAATTAGCCTAACAGCATGTCTGCGGTAGGAAAGCGGAATATTGAGATGAAACTTGCATGGCACTGGGAGTTACAAGCAAGCTCCACTCACACATAATGGAGGTGGGATTCAGACCCCCGACCCTGGAGGTGTGAAGCAGCAGTGTCATACACTGGGCCACCACGCCACCTTTACAGATGACTTAATCTCTTTGATGACCATATGGGAGGTTACTGTTGTCTCTAGATTGCTCATAGTGTGTGATTACAGGTGTCAGTGTGTGTGTATGTGCCCTGCAGTGGGCTGGCACCGTTTCCATCCTTTTTTCCTGTGCTTCCTTGGAAAAGACTGCCTGTGCTGGGAATAGTACCCTGTGTTGGAAAGTGGCATGGATGGATGGATGGATAAATGGATGGATGAATGGGTGGATGGATGGATGGATAAATGGATGGATGCGTGGGTGGATGGATGGATGGAGGTGATGTGCAGTCATGCTGGTTTGTCCTGCTTTGATTGGTAAAAGATAGCTATTCTGGGACAAAGGACCTAGATCAGGGGTGGGCAATCTTATCCGCAACGGGCCGGATAAGATTGCGGGTTAGGCGGGTTTTCGCTGAACTCCCTAATTAGATTACCAATTAGAGGACTGATTGGCTGAAGAGTCCTCACACCTGGGTTTGAGCAGCTGACCTACAGGTTATCCCAAAAACCTGCATACACACCGGCCCTTTGCGGATAAGATTGGCCACCCCTGACCTAGATCAACAAACTAAGACTGAGAATTTTTCCTGTCTCTATGGGAAAAAAATGAAACATTTTATTGGTGTTTTCTTACATTGTTCAAATGCTCATTGATTTGTTTAAAATGAACTTTAATCCAAAATGAAAACTAAAAATAAATGTTGTCTTTGCTTCCATTTAGTGAAGTAAATCTGCATTACTTACGGGTTACATTAATGGTTTATTATTGGCCTTTTGCTTTATGGACTACTGTCCATAATATATATGGTTCTTACACTAGACATAAAGCCACTACACATTTGTCATGAAACAAAACCGTTTGTTGTAGAAAATATACTGAACAGACAAGATAAAACTGTCACGAGTCAGTGATAATATGTTCATTATTCCCATCGCTTAGTTTGTTAAGCTTCTGATTGCAGCGCCAATCTACTCACTAGGCATGGATAAGATAGACGATGCCATGAAGTCATGAAGATTTCGCGGTATATGACTGCGCCGGACACTTGGCTTCCGGTGACAGAATGGTGAAAAAAGAGGGGAGGATGTGACGAGGAAAAGAGGAAAGGCAGACTTCATGAAGATCTGCAACAAGCTAAGGTGCTGGTGGTTGTAGTTCACAATTCCCATCCTACTTAGGGGTCAGAACCAGAAAGTCAAAACAAAAAGAATTTCAGCTTCCTGTCAGTCTCTTTTGGTTTTTCTTATACCCTTGCTTTCTCCTCTCGCCCCCCACCCTGGTTTGTAACCTCTCAGGCAGAATTCTGTTGCTGTGAGGCAGCTGGTCTAAGTGTGAACTCTGAAAACATTGCTGTGTTCTTCGGCACATGCTGCGCGTGACTGTGGCCTGTTGCAGATACCCACTGTTATTGTCAAACCTAGCTAGGCCTGCGGCCCAGCTGATGACAAGGCCATAAATTCCCTCTGCTGTTTAACCTCATTGTCATCTCTATAGCATGAGAAAGTTTAATGTCAGCATCGCGGAAGGGCAGTGAAGTTTTCAGAAGCACCGAGAGCAGCTTATGGTAACTTAAGTGGCTATAATGAATCATCTGTTTTGCGGACCTGGATATCTCCTGACTAAGCCTAGTGTTGGTCCAGAGAAACTTAACAAAGTACACAAAACACTTAAATATTTTAAAACATACCTCTATACCTGTCTTGTTTTTATTATCTTGATTTGCTACATTTTACACTATGCCATGCCATTCAGCAGCTGTGTTCATCTCCTGACAGCGGGATACTTCTGGAAATGATAAGTAATGGAATGTTGTTATTATTTTCAGGATTTAATAAATGGCATCTTGGGTGCTTTGTTGCTCTATGGGTTATGACTTTACTCTCTATCTCCAAGCTATCCTTACTTGTATGTCACTTTGAACAAAAACCATCGGCTACATAAATGTAAAGAGATTGATACTGTATTCTCAGAACCATGCATTCTTAGTAGAAATTTGTATGTGTGATCCATATTTTTCTATATTTTGGAGACTGTGGTCCATTATGGTTGTTTTAGTAGGTGGTCCTGCAAAGACAGCTTACTGCAGTGTAGACCCTGGATGGCTTTGTTACTGACGTAAGATAGACCTGCACTGCTGCATCCTGCGTGGTTCAAAAGCCGGTTATGTGGTTGGTTGAAGAGTCTAAGAGTCGTGACAGCCAGATGAGTAGCATGACAGGGGGCTGGGGGTTGGCGTATGGGGGGGCAGGAAATGGTTTCCCGAGTAGCTGTCTCCACCTCCAGATACTTGAGTGCTGGAAGAACATTATTCTAATTGCAGCAATAAAAGTTTTTACAAATGAGCTTATAGTGCAGAAAAGACTGGGCCAGGGCGGGTGCTAATGAACGGGCAGTTTTCATGTGCGCTGTTCCCACATAGCTGCAGTGCTTCTCATTAACAGGAAGCCCACAAGGTGCTTTGCTTAGCAGATTTTCATACTGTTGTACATATAGTGGCATATAGTACATATAGTGGTGTACATACTGGTATTTATGCTCTGTATTTTTTCGTTTCTTTTCTTTTTAGTGATTAGTTGGAAACCCATTTGTTATGTGAAACCAATTAAGAAATAAAACATAAGAGGGGCATGTTTCAGATTGCTCTAGAGGTTTATAGACTTTTATGTTCTCCCTGTGTTTGTGTGAGTTTCTGTCGAATAAAAAGTGTCATAAAAATAGTGGGGAATGGAGAAGTTAAGAGTGCCCCTCAGACTGTGCTGAACCTGCCCTATTAGTTATGAAAATAACAGGAGTTGAGGCAATGGGCTTTTCTTTAACTTGGGACACAGCCTTCTAGTAAAGTTTTAAAGTTTTCCATGGCTTCCTTCACTGCTAGTTAGCTTTTGCAATATATTTATGAATTAAGTTTAGGTTCTTTTAATTTTTCCTGGGAGATATGCGTCACTTTCCATTGTTCTTCAGGCTTCCACTGGAAGTATGAGCAACAAACAGCTTTATGGTGATGTGAGATCATGCTTTTACGAGAACATATCACCTTCCACTGCCCCCCATCCGTCCACAAACTTCTGAAAGTTTTCTCTCTCTCTTTTCCATCCCAATTTCCCCTCTTCTCCATCTTTTCACCCTTGTGCATGGGAATATTGACAGAGATTAACTCTATCTCAAGAGGAGCTGAGGACATGCCAGACTGAGAAGAGAGAAGAAAAGAGAGCAAGAGCTTATGAAATATTGACTAGCGCCTGTGCTGTCTTTTGCCTCATCTGTCTTTGCTAATGCTTTATGGGGCAACAGAAGACTCTCTCAGAAAATATGGTGGAATGTGATGCTTTGATTAGTGCGTATGGAATGTATGAACCTATACAGTATGGCTATTATAGAAAAAGTATGGTCATTCTCACCCACTATTTAGTCAATCAGACACTCCCACTTGTATAAGAAGAGTAATCTGAAAAAGGGAAGAGGAGAAAAAGGAGAGATGAAGGAAAACAAACATGAAGTGACAAGAGAAAAGAAACACAGAACTAGGATGCTGATGGTATTTCTCTTTCACCTTTATAACCCACGCTAAACTTGGTTGTCGATGTGTGCTAGGACAGGTCTTGTTTGAGGCTTAAATGAAAATGAATTATTAAAATGATAAATGAGTAAAATGTGGATCAGAGTGCTATCAGTGTCTTGGTAGCAGTTTGAAACAAACAGCCTTCAAAATGAACAAAAAAAAAAACAATCACGAAAACATGACAGAATGTGCAGGAAGTGAGTGAAGGAGCCCCTGTGGCATGGAGCTTCTTAAAAACTCACCCATGTTCTAATGCTACAGTGCTGCTTGGTCTCCTATACCTGCTGCTTTGTCATTAGTTTACAGAATCAGCAACTACAGCAGTGAGCAACTACAGCAGTGAAACAAACAATGAAACAAAAAGGTTGGCTCCTGTCTTCTATCTTATTAAAATAGGAAAGGCCTTTAGAGCATAAACAGACTCCATAATGGTGCTGGGAAGTGTGAAAGAGCTTTTGAACTCACTGTCAACAGTGAGTGAATTCCACCCACACTTTGAGACTGTAACTTTTCAGTATGGAGACGTCTTTGAGGGCCTGCCAGACGAAAGAGAGGCGTCGGGGTCTACAGAGAATCTGTCCTGACGTGCCTTCATTTTAATTAATTATAACCGGTGATAATCCACATTTTTCCTTTTTTTCGTAAGGTACTCGCATACACCTTCATCATGACTACTTGGATTCTGAAGAATGTGTCCTCTGATTCTGGTACCCTATTATGCTAAATGATGGCCAGACATTAGTATAAGTGACGTCATCGTTACTCTGATACAGTATATTGATTATTTTAAGGATGAACCGAAATTCCCTTTGTGTATTTATGTATATATCTTGCTTTTTCCCGGCTTTTCCACAAATAATTTTGACATATTGAACTAATTGGTCAGGGGGTTTTGAACTTTGTGTGACGACAACATACCCAAGCTGGAAAAGCTGAGGATGAAAGAATGAGTCTGGATTGAATGATATGTACGTGTGTGGATGGTAAACCCAAGGTGTCAATTAATGACAGACTTTGAATCCCCTGTGTCCAGCTGATCAGCTGATGGGAGGCGAACAGTGAAGATCGTCACTGAGGCTTATTAGGAGTGTTTGTGGTTCACCTGCTGAATATCGTGGCTAGAACTTTGGACTTCAGTCTGTCTGCTTTGGCGAGACTCATCTCTCAGGGGCAGAATCCACTTTGTGATCAATGAGTACCCGAGTGCATTTAGTAGCTTATAATTAGTCTTTTCCCCCCACTGGAGGATTGCAGCACATTCTGTCTGTTTACATTATTAATGACGAATAAATTACCATCAAAGTTTCCATGTGATTAGGGAAGCATTTCTTTTCAGTTGGATTGGTAACAATGACGCGATTGTCGGGCGCCTGACAGGGCGTCTGTCTGTTTCTCATGTCCAAGCGGAACCCAAATTCCCCGTTCTATAGGCCCTCGTGTTTAGATAAGAGATAAAATGGTTGTGACAGTTTCATATTTCATGCTGATAGTAGTAATAATAATGATAATAGTAACATCGCCATGCATCCTTTGGTGTTTAATTGCATCCCTTCAGTAATAGAATTGTTGATAATCTACAGAAATGGGCTTTGCTGGTGAGATACCATTGTGTTCCCCTGACCCCACATTAGCATTGTTTTATTTAATTAGCATGTAAATGTTATGCATGTGCCACGGGTTCGCGTAGCTTGGCAGTAACACTTTGAATTACATGTCCCGTGATCAATTACTCGCCGCCCGCTGAAATGCTAAAAGCAGCCGGGTCCATCTGTTTTCTCAGAGGTAATCCGAGATGCCTGTTTGAAAACTTATAGCTACCTGACATTTTGCTCTGAATTAATTTTTCTTTGTTTTATCATTAATTTTATAATTTGTTTAGATGAATCAAATGATTGTCTTCTGGCAATCGGCGGCTCTTGCAACTTTTTATGTTATAATTTTGAATGCATTAAAATATAATTTTTGCAGCAATTAAAAGTATCAGTTACAAGTATTTACTACGATAGAGCACATGGCAGGATCTTAAGAAAAGAATGCTGATCAGATATTTCTGCATTTGTGAATGTTTCCCGTTTCCTGGTGTAATGTGTCACTTTGCGCACGTTTTTGCTCCATAACTCCTACCTCTCACATGGTTCGAGCGTGCCAGCATGCTCGTGATTCTGCTGAACTGCGTCACCCTCGGGATGTTCCACCCCTGTGAAGACAGCAAGTGTGATTCAGAGCGCTGCAACATCTTGCAGGTGAGTCTTCTGGGATGGGGGGGGGGCGAGCACCTGCAGGTTACGCTTGTCTCTGTCCAGCAGGGGGTGCACTGACATGTCAATGATCTTGCGGCTCAGACTAGCGGTGTGCTTACGAAAGCTGGTGAAGAGTATAAAATAAATAAATATTTTTTGGATGGCATGAAGGGCAGTTATAACGCTGACTGAAAAAACATGCGGCAGAAAACATGCAACGGAAGTGTTACCTAGAGGAGAAGCACTTTAGCTTCTGTAATGAAGGGGCCCACTCAGGGGAGCCTGTTGACGATCACCCCCCTTTCAGAGGCTGTCTGAAAAATGCATGATCCCCACTGCTCCCCATCCTGCTGGAAAACACGGCTCCCTCCTCATTTCCCAATACAGCAACGCAGTCGTCTAGCCAGTTTATTTTGTTTATTTTGTTTCTTTTATGAATGATCTACAACTCAAGGGTCTCTTTTGTTTGTTTCTGTTTGTGTAATTGACAGTAAAAATTTCAGATATGGTTTATAGCAGAATTTTGGGAAAATTTACAATGTTTAAAATGTGAAATATAATAATAATAATAATAACAACAACAACAATCACAATTATTATTATTATTATTATTATTATTATTATACATGACTTTGGTACAGTGCACGAAAAGACCTCTGTATCTGAGGGTTCCTCTTCTATGATCTAACCAACTGTGGATCAAAAATAAAAACAAAAATAATCCAAGAACTTCCAATAACTTGAATTTCCCGCATAATGAGCACTATGCTGCATGACATGATGTGTAAGCTTACCCTGCTAAAGCCTCTGCAATCTGTAAGGTTCGAAAGAAAGGCAGCGTTACGTTGTTGCAGTATCATGTAGGTTGGTTCCGTCTGTGCTCAACATGTGCAGACTGTTTTTTCTTGTCAGTGTACCTAATGCTATTTACATAGCATTAACATCGCATTAGGTATTATGCATATTCTAGAGATTATTAAAGTATACAGGAGGATATGTGTAGATTATATGAAAATACTGCAGCATTTTATATAAGGCACTTGAGCATCCTCAGATTTTGGTAACCGAGGGAGGTCCCAGAACCACAGATACTGAGGGATGACTGTACATACTGCCAATTGTGCTATTGTTTTTAAATCAGATACCCTATACTAAAATTTCACATCGTATACAACAAAAAATACAGTATCTCTAAGCATATTGTGCTATTTTGGTTGTATATGAGATATACCTTCTGACCCCAAACGAGTTTGAATAATTGGTGTGGAAATGCTTCCACTCCCCCCCCGAAGCTACTCTCATCCACTGTCATTATCAAATCACAGCAGCCTTTCACCATATGGAAATATGAGCACAGTTGAAACTGAGAAAATTCAGGCATCGAGGAATTCCAATCTGCTCCTATATTCAGTGAATGAAGTATGGCACTTCACTGGGGTGGACATGTCTGTTTAACCTCTCTGTGAGACAAAAATAATGCCTTTGGTAGGGTAATGAAATCCAAGGCAATGCAATAAAGCCAGTCAGAGCTGTGGGTCTCCTGGTCTCTCCACTCTGCCCACACAACATCTTTCTTTTTCCCTCTCTAGGCTAAAATATTCTAATTTATTTACTTGAAAATGAACATTCTATAGTTCAAACTAGACTCAACACATTAGCTCACTTACAGTGGATGTTTGGATAAGATAAGATTATAGACTTCACCATTTCCTAACTCTGCAAAGCTGGAAGCGATTGTTGGAGCGCATTTTGACGTGGACGGCGTTTGGGAGTGGGGCTGCTGAAGGGCTTGCCGGCTGCTTTATCACTCTCCATCGAGAGTTCTGACACAGGATTCTCAGAAGCCTGGGTGTGAGGTGCAGTCTATCATCACCTGCTTTTTCTGGTCCAGCAAAAGACGTGGGGCTCTGATCATTAACCAGAAACTTTGTTCTTGTTTGGCAGGACAGAATGATGATGCCATAACATGGCTCAAATCAACAGACTGTTTCTTGTCTTAATTTACTTTGAGAGGTCCTGGGCAATCAGGAAATATAAATCACTTCACCATTGTACCTATATAATTTTGCAAAAATTGTGTGCAGTTTGAGCAGATACAGTGTGTTGGAGTTTTTTCCACTCTTTCAAAATCAAATAAATCAATCAATAAATCCATCAGTCACTCAATCAATCTAACATATCTACAACACATCCCATGGTTGGCAGAATGATGTCATCATTGGGCCCTTCTGCAAGGTGGTTAACCCTCAAATGCTCCAGGGACTGTCTGGCCCTACAGTACCTTCACATGGCTCGCTTCGGATAGTGTTTGCTAAATAAATAAAAAGCAAAATGTAAATCTACCAGGACATCGTGCGTCCTTTTGTACAGGTCACTGCCAAAAATGGCATATAGCTAGTAAACAGTTTCGATGATATTTGCAATAGTTTGACTCTCTGGACTGCTTGCCGCATGCAGTCCTCACACGCTGCATCGCACGCTCCTGTCAGCCCTGTGTGATGCATCGGATACTTCACGGTGATCTCATTTAGAACTGAAATCCAAGCAGCGAGACAGAAAGAAATGGTTTGCCAGACTGTAGACCTGCTTTTCTCGTTATTATTTTTTTCCAGTTCTTGATTTCATTTGAGGGTTAGAATGTTCTCGGGGGGGGGGGGGCTCCACCCCACAACCATTTCCGGAATATGTGTTTCATTCAGAAGAAGAAATATATTATGATATTTTAATGCGATCAGTAACGTACTATTTCTCTCTATTTTCCTGTCTGTGTTTTTTTTTTGATTGAGCATGTGAGTTTGTGTATACATTTGTTGTTTATTCCCCGGAAACCCTCTGCTAATCCAGGATCAGAACATGTCCTGGATAAGATTACACAGATCTGGTATGATATCTGTCAGTTGTCTAACCATCTTAGTGGCACATTTCATATTGAAAGGGCTTATTTGATATTTTGTGATGCTGACACCGATGGTAAATCAGAGGGGGCTCCTATTAGTCACACATTGACTGCCGCACAACAAATGCTCAGCATACTGTATCTGCTGTCTAGTTCTTAGTGATGCTTGCATGCATAGTGAGGAATGGAGAATGGAGGAATGGACATGCATCATCTGTCACAGCGCTCTCTGACCTCCACACACTGTAAATGACTGAACAGGGTCCATTGCCCTGCTCTGAGCGGATATATTGTCATGAATTTTGATGGAGAGTTATAACCAGAGAAGGCCCAATTTCTAGACTCTGGACCAAATATATAGAAGTAGGAAGTTAGACAAAAAGAGGAAAATATGTGAGGATGAGAGGCAGAGAGGGATGAGGGGTTAGGGGTTGTTATGATGAGGACTCAGCGCAGAGAAAGTGAGATGTGGTGAAAGTGGATGACTAATCCACAGTCTTCCTGCTGTAGATATCTTGGCCATTTTCCAGTCCACACTTTCGGTTTTCCGTCAGGACTGATGGGTCGTAGAATAGGCCCGGGGAGGACTTTGGACCCAGGAGACTTTGCATTCTTCACAGAGACAGACAGAGAGTCACTCACACCATTTCTCTTCCATGTAATAGTGTTGTACGGAAGAGTATATTGGTCTGTTTACTAAAATATATTTAACATTAATATTTTGTGACTTTTATGAGGCAATGGTAAAAAATGCATTTTATCTCCAGTAATATTTTACAATTTAAATATAATTTCCTTTGAACTCTTTTAAGTGAATGTTTATCCGAGAAAAGTAAATACTTTGTCTCTGGCATCTATATAGTCCGTTACATCAGTATGTTAAAAATTGATGTTGCACTTAAAATCCATGAAATTGTTCTTATGCATGCATGTGTGTAATGTCTTTCAAACTGGGACTTTGATAACTCCTGGGGGTGACTCGTTATAAACAGCCATTTAGCAGAAAAGATTTATTTTTTTGGGGGGGTGGGCAGAATGCACGCAGGTGAGATTACGCCTCCAGAACATTCTGTAGGTTTCCCTCTGCCTTTCATGTCAATTTTTTCTGTTTATCCTTTTTATGAAGTTTACTACCAACTGAAAGGAGCGTAATGTACTAAAAGATATCTGCAGAAGAAAATACTACTTAAAAGCAAATTTAAGCGGCTCCATTTGCATAAATTGACTTGCAATTGGAAGGCAAAGTAGATGATATTTCAGTAAATCCCCACATTTCCTAATGTATGTAATTTGCAGAGAAATCCCTTCTTTGGATTTAATCATTTTTTTACTTGTATGTCATTGCTGTAGAATTGTTTCTTCTTCCTGTGATGTCAGTTTAACAGTCTTAGTCTGTGTCTGTGGAAGTTTGAAAGTTAACAGGATATAATATAAAAAAAAAAACATGAACAAAATTTAAGATAAGCCACATTGATAATTTAGAATTTTTTAATCACATGTAAACAGTTTACAATGTGTGTAATACACCATTTATCTTTATGGAAATACATTTCATACATTGTTTAAAAAAGTCTCTAATTCTCTAAATGCTTGGTCTTTTATAGGCTTTTGATGACTTCATCTTTGCATTCTTCGCTGTGGAAATGGTGATCAAAATGGTAGCTTTGGGTATCTTTGGGAAGAAGTGTTACCTTGGAGACACGTGGAACCGGTTGGACTTCTTCATTGTACTGGCTGGGTGAGTTAATTTACCTCCTCTTCACAGGTACACAGCGGTAACAACGTTTGACTAGATTGCAGTGTTTTCTGGGGCACATGCACACTCTTATGTAGGGGAGTGTTTCCCAAACATTTTCTGCCTAAAATATTGAAAACTTTATTATGACTTGAACTGTTAGCCTGACCCTGTAAAGACGACTGCACTGCACTCCATCTCTGTCCTTGTTCACAAGAAAATACTTACTACATAACCCCGAGGTGTACTTAGGGTTTTTCAGTAGGTGCGTCCAGACTTTTGACTGATACTGTATGACAGGAATAAATAATATTTTTGTTGACCCAAGTCTGATTATATAAGTTGTATGCAGACAGGTCTCAGCAATGCTTTTTTGGGGTAACAAAGCTGCACAAGACCTATGATGCATTTGGTGGCCAAAGCTAAAGAAACAGTCATTTGAATTAACCTTGGTTAGGGACTGTTTAGCTGTTCAGTTATTCAAATTAGAGTATAACAACACTTTATATACAAGTACTTTGGATTTAAATTGTGTGGAGAGAACAGACAAAAACTTTTCACTTCACTAGCAGTCTTGCACAGTTTTTGGTTACCGTTGTGCAATGAAAAGTATATTAGAACCTTTGAAGAGTCCCCTTGAGGACATTATGGCTGACTAGAGTAGATTATAGTAAAACCTCATTTAAAGGTCACTCCCGGGAGAACAGAATGCTTACGTTGAACTTGAACAATGCTTTCAGCCTTGACTACTGCCAATATCTCTTAATTAACTAGGGAAAGAGTACCTATCACTCCACCTGCCAGAGATCATAATGCATATCTACCATTCTTGCCTTCTGAATCACTCACATGTCATTGTAGCCTGAGAAAAGTAAGCGTAACAATAACTCAAAGACTGTCGTTTGAAGTCCTTTTTAAATGTATTAAATTCACTCTCAGCTTTCTAGTAAAAATCTGTGAATCTTTAGAGGACAGAAGCAGACTTTTAAGTGAATAATGTTCTTATTATTTAATCAGTATATCTGTGTGTCTCAGCGTGTGTGCGTGTTTGTGTGGCTGGCAGTCGTGCTGGACGATGCCACATCTCCCCGCTTAGCTTTGAAACCACTGATCTGTGAAAAAATTACATTTATTGTTTTGTGATTATGTGTTAGCTTTAATGTCTTTTTGCATCTCAGCTATGAAATCCATTGGATTTAAACAAATTACATGACGGACCTAACAGAGTCCTCGGTAAATTGCAGAAAGAAGTGACTGCTTCTGTTTACATTTTAATAGTTTGTGACCAGTATCGTCATTTTCCATGATCATTATTTTCTTTGCTTTTAAACTGATGATGAGATGTATTATAATTGCTTTTTCTCATCAATGGTGCACAAACCTTAGGTCAGGGCTAACGTGGTCTGCATTCATTAGCATCTATAAACAAGGAAGCTACTTGCAATATGGAGAGAAAGGAAAACTTTAAACCAGGGAAGGGAATAAAATTAAAGAATCCATGTAAATTTCCTTTTCTTCTGGGCTGACATCTTTAATTGGATTGACAAATACACGTTTAAAATATTGATTTTTCAAGGTTCGTCTTTTCGTAAAAATATAAACGTAAAGTGAACAAAGGTAGGGGGCGCCATTAAAGATTTTGGGACCCATGAAAGCATTTCATATTGGGCCCCCAGCCCCAATTAATTTCCACATGCTTTAGGGCCACTGTCACTCAAGGGCCCCGGGAATCAGCCTAACTTTCCCCCAGCTTTACGGCGCCCCTGGGTACAGAGAATCCATCAGTTGATATGTATGAGATCATGCATTGTCATGCACCCAGAAGGAGCTTTAAAGACTGAGACAGGTGTGCCGTTCTGACGAGCTGAGGGCACTAGCGGAAAAGCCGCATTGCCGTGCCATATGGAGTGGAGGAGGGCCGGGCCAGAGCTTGTGCATAACTGCTGACGCTGCATCAGCTGCTCCATTAGCATATTAGCTGAAACAATGCCAGCCTTTGCTGGAAGCCACTCGCATCGTAGCCGTCGGAGGAATGTCACAGAAATGCCACCGGTGCCTGCAGTGTGAATGCCGTCTTCGGGCTAATAAAATTAGATTCTGTGTAAATTCGAGTGACATTTCTGAGGAATCATCTTCCGTTTATGATGCATAAGGTAGCTCATAAATAAATAGATGAATTATGTATTCATAGTCTATCATAGGTGTTGACTTAAATGCTGTTAATTACTTGGGGTTGCTAATACATAAAAAAATACCTTTCAGAATCAACATATAGCCATAGCTAAAGATAACATCATTTGTAAGGAAAAAAATTCTTATGTGAAAACAATGCATTGAATAACCACAGAATATATTTCAAATATTGCACTATATGTTGCCTTGTGTGACAAATTATGGGAAAATATATATCTTTGACATGACCAACTGGATAAAGACAATGGTTATTTGTAGTCACACATATCCAGTTTTCCTCAGCATAAGAAAAATCTAACTCAGGAAAAAAAAAATGGCGTTATTGTTAAGCTCGATTTTTTTAACACCTGTCTCAGACCCAAGCTAGGGAAGATGACTACCTTTTGAGATGCGGTTTCAGTAAGTTCATCCTGAAGTGGTGTTTTCAGCTTGGCACAGAGTTCTCCACTGCGGCTGCAAACCCGGCACAGAAAAAACTGGCACAGGAGCAACTGATTTCACATTATGTATCAGGGGGTGTTTAGACTGAGATGCTGAACTGACTTCAGTCCAACATTACACTTTATATTTATTGCAACAAAACATCCATAAACAATAACGTATTCAGCAAATATACCACTTTAAAGGACATACCTTTTTTGGATATGTGAAATTCAAATGCATTCTGTTTTCTGTATTTTAAACGCTATATAGCTAGCTAAAATCTCTAATCTCTACATGTCTTTACCTTGATACATACAAATTATCTAAAATAAATACATACTGTAGTGTGCAACTCCGATGAATTAAACAAGTTGAAAAAAGATCAACTTGTAGAAATTGCTACATATTTCTGAATAACAACGGTTCATGTGTTTTGCCTTCTGATGATTTGCTTAGTATTGTAATGACGAAAAAGATTGGACAAAAAAAAAACAATTGTTACAAGAGAGTAAATATTGCAAAATTATTTAGTTTTTCCCATGTATCATTGTGCAGTTTGTCATAATAGTGTATTTGTGGTTTTATGAAAAATTTAAGGTTTAAATGAAAAATTGCACCAAAGAACTCCGTATTACATACAGTGCAAGTTTAAATAAAAAAAAAATTAAATCTGACACAATGTATATGGAAAAATCTATTATTTGAATTTTAATGATACAATTAATATGGAAATCTTGTAATCATTCTTAATCCACAGATAATGGTGAATTATTTCTGGCATGTGTCAAACAGCAATGGTGTATTGTAACACCAGCATGTACAATGCATTGTATATTCGGTGTTTCTTTATTAGGTGACCTGCACCTTAATGCATACAGCCTGCTACTCCAAACAGCAAATCATGTGGCTGCACCTGAATACATAAGCGGGCAGACAAGGTCAAGAGGTTCATTTACTGTGTGGCACAGAATTAGAAAGGTTAAGAGAGATGATCTAAATGATTTTATATGTGGTGTGATTGTCGGTGCCAGACGTGGTGGTTCCATCCCCTCAGAAACAGCCACCCTCCTGGGATTTTCTGTACTACAGCATCAAGAGTTTGCACAGTATGGTGTGTAAAACAAACCATCCAGTCAGTGGCGGTTCTGTTGCCGAAAAAAAAAGAAAACCCTGGTTAATGAGCGGGGGCAGGGGAGAGTGGCCAGACTCGTTAAAGCTAGCAGGAAGACCACAAGTCCAAGCGTAAGAGTGATGTGTAGAAAGACATCTCTGAACACACAGTTCTTCAAACATTGAAGTGGCTTTGCAGACAAAAGGGCATCCTAGCTTATACTGTGTTGGAGTATATAATAACATGGTCTCTGAGTGTATATGCCATGACGGGGCTAGTCACCAAGACAAGTCGATTTGTCACATTTTGATATTAAAACAACCGCTGTTACCTTTACAAAAAAGTACTGTGGTTGTGCTCCCTGTAATTGCCAGAGGATAACATTATTGGTGGTTGTCGAAAATGTTCTGTTACTTATTGCCAGTTAAATTTTGATATGTGTGTAATTTATCTAGTTATAGCTGCTAGTACAATGCTAAAGTGGGGCATGTTATTAAATGTATACAATGTTGACCGGATTTACAGGCAGTACAGGTGATGTGCAGGAGTTAGCAGGTGTATGTCTGTTGCTTACATTATGGCCTATAGTTGTAGCTGCAAACAACATCAATCCTGCTCTTGCAGCATCACTGAAACAATGGTAACCAAGGTAACAAGAAGACTGGTATACATTTCTTAGCAACTAGAAATATGGAGCCTGAAAGGATGAAATGTTTGTTTCACCAAAGAAAAAAAAAGAAATGCCACAGAAGAATTTTTTCAGCAGGCTTCAGTACTTTGACAGAAATAGTAAAATATTTCATTTTTAATTGAAAAAAGGACACATTGTTTTCTGTCTCGCATGTGTCCTGAGTGCACTGAGGAGGAGTCTGTGTGCCAATCCATGTGCCAGTCCGTGTGAAATTGCAGGCATCAGCCACATCAAGTCTCCCACATGGTGGCAAATCTCATCAACGGCAACTATGGCAGAGGAACTTTGATCCCCGTGGCTTAAGAGGTGGTTTTCTTGGTTCTCCTCAACCTCCCAGGAAGGAATGCCTTCCTGCGTGCAACAACAAACCCCCCCCCCCCCCCCCTTCTGTGTCTAGGGACTTCACACTTCGGTNCCCCCCCCCCAGCCCCCTTCTGTGTCTAGGGACTTCACACTTCGGTGCTGACTCTGAGGCCTGGGACAGTGTCCCTTGTCTGTTCAGGTTCAGCACAAAGCATCCTGCCTCATGGAAAGGTGACACATGACAAATGCAGAGATCAGACATCAAACTCAAACATGGAGGAA